CACACACACACACACACACACACACACACACACACACACACACACACAATGACTTCCCAAACTGTTATTACATTTAAAACATGCGCCCAGATTTTTAAAAAAAATATATTGTAAGTGAAGAGCTTGTACATTTTAACTTTCTAGAACAATAGTGGTAGAAGTTGAAAGACAATTTGAGCATGCTCCTCAACTTCTTCTAGAATCCCATGCCCACCGTTGACTTCCTGCCTCTCTTTGGAAAGTCCCTAAGAGGTACAGTATTGTTTTTCTCCTGGGTGGGCACAGATTTCATTGTCAGATATTCCCCCGACCCCGACACCCGTCTCATCACATAAAACCCTCAGGCTGTTATGGCTTGTCTTCAAATTTCTTACCAAGAATACTAACTGTTGTTCAACTCCTCAGAGACATCCCACTTTCCAAATCATTCCTTTTCTATAGTTCAGGTTTCCGAGTTGAATGATTTTCTCCTAAAGATCAGTTTCAAATGTTGGTGGGGCCAGGTTGCCTTGAGATGTCTAACTTTCGTGTGATCTACTAAATAGTTTTTTTTTTTCAAGGCAGTATCTAAGTAGGGCACTATTGGCTGCATCCCAGGCAGTGAGTACCAGTTTTCTGACTGCTATGGAAGCTAATAGTTACCTCCCTCTCAGATGCTACCTAATCTACAGCCGAGGTACTGTAATCTGTTTGCAAATTCATAGAATCACGTGTGTCTGAATCCCAGAATCTCCAACTGTGTAGCCTTGAGTAAATTATTTCCCTGCCCTTCCAAACTTCAATTTTCAACTATGTTAAATAGGTTAACAATATAAGTCACAGAATTATTGGGAACATCCTACTAATTGTTGTATTAAAGGATCAAAAACTTTGCCGGAATATGGTAAATTCTTGGTGGACAGCTGTGTAATTATTAAGCACTGGAAGGAAGCTAGTAAATGGACAATTTAATTCTGTGTGGAGGTGCCCAATACCAACACCAGTAAATAAAATAAATATAATATTCTTCTTGCAATAGTAAATCACTATACTAAATATACAGAGCAGGAGACCACGTGGTGGAAGGGAGAGTGATGAGAAACTCGCTGGGAAGTCATTGCGGTGCTTGAATTGTCCTGTACCAGGATTACACTGGTATTTACACACATATACACAGAATAAAACTGCATAGACATATACACTGTACTAATGCCAGTGTCCTCATTTTGATATCAACGTGTAGTATGTAAAATAAAATCACCAGGGGAAACTGAGTGGAAGGCAGGCCTGGCCTTCCTATACTTTATTGGTGCATGTCCACATTAACCTGTAATTCCCTCACAATACCAAATTAAAAGTCTTAGTCACTGTCTTAGTCACTGTTCTCCGTCTGTGAAGAGACACCACGATCAAGGCAACATTTATAAAAGAAAATTTTAGCAGGGGGCTCGCTTGTGGTTTCAGGGGATTTTAGTCCGTTATCATCACGGAGCAGGGTGCTAGAGCAGTTAGCTGGGAGCTACATTCTGATCTGCAGGCCCCAGAGTGGCAGAGAGAACCAGGGTCTGACCTGGGCCTTTGAAACCTCAAATGTTCACCCTACCCCTACTCTCAATGACACTTCTACCAACAAGGCCACATCTCTGAATCCTTCTAATCTTATCAGAGTTCCACTTTCTGGTGACTAAGCATTCAAATGCATGAGCCCATAGGGGCCATTTTTATTCAAACCATCACATTCCACTTCCTGACCCCTATAGGCCTGCGGCTATAGCATAATTCAAAAATGCTTTCAGTTCAACTTCAAGCGTCCCCATCGTCTGTCACAGTCTCAACACTGTTTAAACATCCAAAGTTCAAAGTCTCTTCTGAGACTCATGGTGCTCTTTAAACTGTTACGCCCTGCAAAATCAAAATCGGAAACAGAAGGCGTACTTCCAGTGCACCCAGACACAGAATGTACATTACCACTCTAAAAGAGAAGGGGAGCAGGGTGATGAAATTCTGGACCAAAGCAACACCAAAACCCAACAGAGCAAACTCCAAATTCTACACCTCCATGTCTGATGTTAAAGGGTTCCAATTTCTTTCAGCTTTGTTGAGTGCAGTGCACTTCTCTCGCCTGGGCCAGTTCCTTATTTGGTCTGCAGCTCTCCCTGGCAATCCCCAGCTCTCTCAGGTCCTACATCCTGGGGTCCCCAAGGCAATCCAGGCTGCACCTCCACAGCGTCACACAGTGGCCGCTCTGGGCCTGAGTGCAAGGATACCCCTGACGCACGCCTGGCCTCCCCAGCTTTTCCTCATTGTGGAGGGATTTCATAACCCTTTCCTTATACCCCTGGCACTAAAGCCAGGACCATGTGGACAAAGCTGCCATGTTCTGTTGCTTGCTGGAGCTGGAACGTGGCCCCCTTGATCAGCTACATCCGTGTCAGCGTTCTGTTTTGGATGGTTTCCTTCGCTGCCTGGCCTTTACGTTAATTCCTTTTCACAAGTTGGAAACTTAGTGGGTGGGGTCTTGTCTCAAGGTCACCCCTCCCTTTTTTCTATTTGGCAGCAGGCTTTCCTTTAAACCTTTTATCTCCTTGGACACTGGACTCAGCTCCAGTGCACTCTCCAGTGTTCCTTTTCTCCTCGAACTGTACATTTTGTATTTCTCTTATCCAGTTTGCTCCCTTTCATTCCAGATCTGCGTAAGAGTCCTTACTAAAAACCACATGGTACGGTCGAGACTAGGCTATCTGAAAATCTCTTCTTCAATTCAGCCTCTGGTAGATTATTTGGACAAGGGGAGAGAGCAGCCACATTCCTTGCCAAAAATATCACGAGAGTGATCTCTAGGCCACTTCCTAATATTCCTCCCCTCTGAAACCTCTTGATCAGGACTGTCAGAATCTACATTGCTCTTAGCACCACTGTCTTCCATGCCTCCTACTAGGGTGGCCCATTAAGTCCTGCTTAAAGTGTTCAGCTGCAACTCTAATCCAAAGTCCCAAAGTCCACATACTGCCAATAAGCAGCAAGGTCAGGACTATCAGCAATGCACACTCTAGCTTCACAGCTGCCACCTCCTCTTCTCCAGGAACACCAACAAGACCATACCTCCTCGTCCTTCTAATCCTACCAAAGAACTCCACTCTCTGGTGACTAAGCCTTTAAATATTTGAGCCTATGGGGCCCGTTCTTATTCAGACCTCCCAGGACCCATTGGAAACATCCCACAATTATCACACTTACTCTAGACAGATTATTCATGCTATAACTCGAAGGGTCTACTTGGAACTCTGGCATTCCGTTTTAACTGCGAGAAGTGCTAAGATTAGCCCATCTCTGTTCACACCGTTGCTCCCCTTTTTCACACCACGCCCTCCTTCACTGAAGGAGCCTAGTGATGCAGTGATACTTAAGTGTGCCACAGACAAGGCTCCTAAAGAATACAAACTTTGACAACTGGTGAGTAGTGGAATAAGCCTATAATCCTAGCACTTGAAAGGGCAGAGCAGGCAGCAGGAGAGTTAGTTCAAGATCATCCTCAGTTACTTGGCAATTTGGGGACTAGTTTGAGTTACATGAGACCCCATCTCAAAAAAACAAAAGAGAATAGAATACGAAGTTTGGTCATTTTTATTTTTTAAATATCTTAATTGGCGAACACTGGGCAATGGGTTTAAGAATGTAGTTGGTCACCACAATCTACTTGCTACCACAACAGCAATGGTGTAGGGGCAATACTAAAATCTTCTGCAAGTGAACGAATAGTATCTTAGAATCGGCTGCATCACAAGAAGCTGAAACAGTATTCATTTGGGGGACTTGGTGTTTGCAATCAGCTGCTATGCTGTACTCCGAAGGCACAGACGAGTGCCTGAGCAGTCAGTGATGATCTGAACAAAGGAATGCCTGAATGAAGGCGTGGCCATGAACGTAAACGACGAGAATAAACATGGTGTTCGCCTTAGAACGGCAGCTTTTTGGTGCAGCAGGAGCTCCCGGGTCACCTTCTCTCTCCCTTTGCTTCTCCAGGCAGCTTGAAATCCACTCTCCGGATGCTAAGCACACAGTGATCCTGAGGACAAAGGACTCCGCCACTGCCCAAGCCTGGTTCAGTGCCATCCATACCAACGTTAGTGACTTGCTGACACGAGTCATTGCCGACGTCAGAGAACAGCTGGGGAAGACGGGCATTGCTGGCAGTCGTGAGATCAGACATCTTGGCTGGTTGGCAGAAAAGGTGAGGGGAACATCTCCCGGGTCGATTGTCCCTAAGTTTTCCCATTGAAACTACCTCATTCTGTAGGCTGGTTCTCTCCTTGGCAGTGAACTGACTCTCTTGTCCGTCCCAGCAGACCTCATAACATGGTAGTATGTGCAAAATTCGTCTTAATCAACATTTATTCTCTAGCATGCTTTCAAATATGCAGCAAATTACATGTGGTCCCTAACTGTGCAATGAGCAAATTAATGAATAGTTTGATTTCCGTGGTAACTCAAGCTCATAATACAGAATCTATGGGGAAGGGAGTAGAAATGATTGCTCAGGAGGGGTTTGTGTGGACTTTAATGAACTTGCTCATTAATTATTAGATCCTCTAGGAATCATATGCTTACAAATGGCAGCAATGATATTAATAATGAGAGTTTATTGAGCAACTACTATGTGCTAATTCATTTCCATGTGATCCTTTACTAGTACTTTTAAACAAGCAGGTTTTAAATGCCATTCTTAAAGAGCACCTACTTTGTATGGGCTGCCAGTCTAGGCAGGAGTGGCAAAGTTTGTATTTAAAATGAATGCATGACAATATTGGAACAGTAAGCAGTTTAAAAATTAGCTATTAGAATATATTTCTCATACAAAATCGTGGGTTCCACAATTGTATATATGCAAATTTATGTATCATATTTGCATTCCTATTTTACCAATCTTCTTGATCTTCTAGACAATTCACATTTCAGCTTTTACATGCATGTATGTGTAAGAATCTATATATACACTTGACAATTAGCACAAGATGAAAATCGAACCGAGGGTTGCAATAGAAGCTTTAATTCATGCTGTAAATATGTTTTATAAGTCCTAGATTAGACATTTTAGCAAATCAATTAAATAGTGTAGTGAGCAAGAACTCTGAAGCAAGAATGCACTCATGTGGACTGCATCACTGGTCGGGCTTCATATAAATGATGGATGTAGAAAGCGATAGCCCTTTGGCATAAAATAATAATAGTAGTAATAATAATAATGATGGCTGTGTGTCACAAAGGGCAGCTACCGTGAAAAATGTTTTTACATAGAATGTTAAAACTGTCACTCAGATTTCCCTTCCCAAAGCATGTGATGTGTTGGGACGAGGAAGGCTTGAAGGATTGCGCCTTGGCCATTGTTCTTTTTATTTTAAGTTGATTTTATTGAGCTCTACATTTTTCTCTGCTTTCCTCCCTGCCTCTCTCCTCCCCTTCACCCTCTCCCATGGTTTCCATGCTCCCAATTTACTCAGGAGAGCTTGTCTTTTTCTACTTCCCATGTAGATTAGATCCATGTATGTCTCTCTTAGGGTCGTCATTGTTGTCTAGGTTCCCTGGCATTGTGAGTTGTGGACATTTTTTTAAGTTTATTAAATTATAATAGTTTCCATTTCCGCCCCTCCTCCCAACACCCTCCCACTCCCCCCACTCCCTTTCCTCCTCCCTCTCCATCCCTAAGAGCAGTCAGGGTTTCCTGCCCTGTGGGAAGTTCAAATTCCTCCCCCCTCCCTCCAGGTCCAGGAAGGTGAGTATCCAAACAGACTGGATCCCAAAAATCCAGTATATGCAGAGGAAACAAGTCCCAGTGTCATTGTCAATGGCTTTTCAGAAAGACTCCGGGCCAGCCACATTCAGAGGATCCGGCCACATTTAGAGAATCTGGTTGGATCATGTGCTCGTTCAGTCCCAGTCCAACTGGCCTTGGTGAACTCTCATTAGATCAGTTCCCTTGTATCAGTGGGTGATCGCACCCCTCGCGGTCCTGATTTCCGTGGACATTTTTTTGCTTTATGTTTAAAAACCACTTATCATGTGATAATTGTCTTTCTGGGTCTGGGTTACTGATAGGGGAGTTCAGCCAATCACATTCTGTTTTGGGAGCATACCGCCCTCAGGCTAAAGCCTGCCTATAAACCTAGCAAGCACACTCCACTAGCTCTTTTCGCCTGGCTCCTGCTTCCGGACAGATCGTTTGGATTCTGTTGTAAGCTGTTGCAAGTCTTACTTCTGTTTATTAAAGCTGTATATTTTGTATCAAGATAGTCTGGGGACTTTTCATTACCAATCGCCCTGCGGCTTCAGGTTACCTCACTCAAAATGATGTTTTCTAGTTCCATCCATTTGCCCGCAAAATTCAATGTTGTTTTTTTTTCTGTTGTGTAATACTCCATTTTGTAAATGTACTACATTTTCCTTATCTATTCTTTAATCGAGGGGCATTTAGGTTGTTTCCAGGTTCTGACTATGACAAACAATGCTGCTATGAACATAGTTGAGCACATGTCCATGTGGCACAATTGAGTATTCTTTGGATATATACCCAAAAGTGGTATTGATGGGTCTTGAGGAAGGTTGTTTCCTAATTTTCTGAGAAATCGCCATACTGTTATGCAAAGGGACTGTACCAGCTTGTACTCCCACCAGCAATGCAGGAGTGTTCCCTTTATCCCACAACCTCACCAGCATAAGTTGCCATCAGTGTTTTTGATCTTGTTGGCCATTGTTCTTACATCTGTTTGCTGTCCCTTGAACCTACAGTCTTGCTAGTATTTCTGGGCTCTGTGACAGTCTGACCTTCCCCTGACTCTCCTTCTGATAAATGCTAAATGGGAATAGAGATGTGGCAATAGCAGTTTTCCTGCCCGTGAGTCCTGTCATCTGAGAAGGCCCAGTCAGATGGTCCTGGGTAATAACGCCTGAACAGATCATCCAGGTCTTTTCCACCATTGTTCTTTATGTGTACCTGTGCACGGGTGGACCTGTACCACAAAGCTCAATGCACAGTGGGCTGTTTGGTCTGGTGCTGCCCCACCTCTCATAGATGTCAGAGAAAGAAAGGTCAGGGTGGGTATTAAGAGCTCCCATGTCATAAGACCTGCGAACCTCGGGAAGCTGTCCAAGCTCGCTGGCTCAGATGGTGACCAGGAGTGATGGGCCAGCTGTGTGAGTGTGACGGGGTCGTCAGATAGGAAATCAGTGGGGATGGACGATTTCTGCCTACCAATTTCTGCGGTCTTGATAGAAATGTATGCAGCTCCAGGCAGTGTTCTTAATGACAACAGCACAAGAAATCTAGAGAGTTGGCATTTGTAACGTCCGGCTGCTAGTGCTTGCTATCATTTACTTTCTCAGGTGTGTTTCTCTTGGAGGAGGCCTGTTAGGGAAGAGTTTCAGGTGGCAGATGCTCCACTCGGCTGGAGCATAGGGAGTGTCGTGCAGACTGTTTTCCAGGACAAGCTTCAAGTATGCCCAAGATCCCCTTAATGATATCGGTTACACCTTCCCATCTCTGTGTTTCTGTCTCCTTAGGTGGTTTGTTCTCGAAGGACTCACCTCTGCTTGACCCACAAATTCCAGGCCCATGTCCTTACTCTTAGCTGTCTCTAAGTTGAAGCCTCTGTGCCTCATTCTTTCCAATGGAAGTCTTAATATCAAATCTAATTGGATCGTCTGGTATTTTGAGCACCAGTTGCGCTGAGCTCGGGATGAACCAAGTTATATCTGTTGAGAAATAAAGAAGCGCTGTTTAATTTGGTGGTGGGAAGGTCTCTTTGAGAGTCTTTCTGTATAGGCCATTGTAGCTATAAATATGTTCCAATCTACTGGTCCCCGTGGACGAGTTTCATTCTATCCACCAGGTCCCGTTCACGAGCTCCTGCAGCCGTTTGTGAAATAATCATTATGAAGCCTAATATTAATTGTATACTTATTGACCTATTAGTTCAAGATTCTTATTAACTAACTCTTGCATCTTAAATTAACCCATTTCTACTATTTTATATTTTACCACGAGGCTCCTGGTTTGTTACCTCTTGCTTCTTCGGCAGCTACATGGCATCCACCTGACTCCACCTTCTTTCTTCCTGCATTCAGTTTAATTTCCACACCTACCAATATTCTGCCCTGCCATAGGTCAAAGCAGCTTCTTTATTAAGCTATGATAATAAAACATATCCACAGCATACAGAGGGGAATGCCACATCAGGCCATACTGGCGAAGAACTTGTGATCATCCTGTCTCGGTCTTCCAAGTGCTGATATGACAGATGTGTGCCCCCAAGAAGGGTACAGACTTTCTTTGAGGAGCATGTCATTGTGACTGTTCTGGTTTTGTGAGGCTGTGTTTCATACAGACAAATCTGGCGATGAACTCGTCATGTAGCCAAGGATCGCCCAAACTTCTCATCCTCTGGGATGTGGTGCTGGGTATCAAATCCAGTGTTTTATATGTGGCAGGCAAGCACTCTACTGACTAAGATCCAACCTCTGAAGGGGCATTTATTCTTTTTAGTGAAAGAAAATGAAATAATGAAGCATGTGTTTATACAGAAGTGATGGAACTAGCAGATGCCCTTTATAAAAAGAAAAGAGGAACCTATTGTGATGGAACATGCCTTCATTTGGTTAAGGTCCTGAATTAACATGAGTGGTCCTAGGGGAGGAAGTGGAAGACATCTTCACTGTCCTGGCAGAGAGGGATAGGGATTCAAGTTAGTGCCTCAAAGGATTTAAAGCAGGGGTAGTTAATGCCGTGTAGCCAAGACATGGGAAACACATAAAGAAGTGCCCCAGAATTGGCAATGAGATGCTATGCCATCCTCTGACCTGAAAGAGCATGGGCAGGAGCGGGAACTGAAATTGTCAAGCATTACAGCTGTAGGAAAAGGCTGGTTACTCCCAAGCATAGTCTTTAGTAGAGAAAGCCAGTTCGTGCCAACTCCTGGTTACTGATCTTGTGTTGTTATTTCCCAGTAGTTGAGGATGCCTGGAAACAAGAGGCAAGGGATAAGCACTGGTGTGGTCTGTTGATGTGAGGGGCCATCCCAGGGCTCAGGGAAGGATGTGAAGAGGCACGAGCTAGATCTGGCATGTATGTGGGTTCCAGGCAGCACACGCACCTTCCAAACACCGAGATGAAGCTCTACCATCCCTTCAAGCACAATCTGTATTTAAAATCATTACTGCTCAGTTAGTTGAAAAGTGCCA